CAAAAAAGTACTCCAGGGTGTTGTTCAGCATGGGGGTGAGTAGAAAATGAAGGCTAATCATGTTTTGGGTGTACTATTCCTTTAAACTGGTTCCAAGGCCAAAAAAAGTATCAAAAACATAAGCTTCACAAATTATGTACAGTTGCCTTCTCATTAAATAAAAAACAGAGTATTAGAATCACTTAAAACATTTCAAACCAAAAAGAAACAAGGGGAGAAAAAATAAGAAAAAAAAAATAAGAAAAAGCGTAAAAAATGCAGAAAGTAAAGTTGAGAAACGAAATAAAGTGGAATGTGGAGACTGTAATACACCAAGCCAGCACTGCTTTAATGAGCTGCTTTGGTTAAGCATTGTCTTATTAATTAATACATAAAATTAGATATTCAGTGTTTTTTATTTAATCTTATCGACCTTCAACTTTATTCACAATTGGGAGAGCAAAAAAAAAAAAAAAAAAGTCCAATCTTAAGTGACCTTAATGCTTCGTCGTATCAAACCCTGTTATACTGAAGGCTACATAAAAGTGCTGATAACATTTAATCAAACAGTAAATCTAAGCAACTCATGGATAAATAATCTAATATTGCTCAGAATGTACAAAGCACAAATGCTCAACTATGATTTATAACAGGGCTTAGTGATGCTGTGGTGACAAAGTGATTATCAGTGGTACAGTGGGACCCTAAATCAGATTCAGCTTTGGACTCTTACAAACTGGGACTGCGGGTTCTGTGATACTGGGTCGTGTTGGTTTCCACATAAAGACGACTGAATGACTGAGGAACAAGTAGAGAAGTAGGAAGGCTTGGTTTCTTCAGACTCTTTATGACTTTAAAGTACAGAAACAGTATGATAGAAAATATAAGAAGCCTAAAACTACACATTTACACTGAAATAACGATCTAGAAGTAAGTTAAAATTTCCGAAATTAAGTGTATTCACTCTTAATTTGAATAGGTAAATGAGATAGTTTGCCAATGGAATGAGTAATTTTACTCTTAAAATAAGCTAAATAGATAATATGCACTTGAAATAAGACAATGCAATTGTGTTTTCTTATTTTAAGTGTAAATTGTCTTGCTCCATTGGCAGAATGTCTCTCTTACCTTCTCAATTCAACAACAAATGCACTTATTTTAAGAAAAAAATGACTTATCTAGATTTAGATTTTTTTGCAGTGTAAACATTTTAAGCACATTTGAAATATATATTTGAAAAATCTAAGCAAGCAATAAAAAGACATAAATAAAATATGTAGCTTATGTGTGTAATTCTGCTTGCACTGGGAACACTACATCCTTTTCACGAGTTTCTCTTGGGTAAAATAACCTGCCATTTATGAGCATACTTGTGTACAGACACACACCATTTCCAGTCACAATTTCCAGCTGGACATTTACTCAAAAGCAAAAACAAAGAATAACAAAGTCAGTGCACAGATCCGGCAAAAAAACAGCATTTAAAATGAAGGTCAGTGGTTTTCAGTTGTATTATCAAATCTACATTTAAGAATAAAGAAATCTAGGATTTTAAAATCCAGCATTTTTTAACCAGATTTTTTACACTGGAAAAAAATCAAAATCTAGATAAATCATTTTTTTCTTAAAATAAGTGCATTTGTACTTAAATTGAGAAGGTAAAACAGACATTTTGCCAATGGAACAAGACAATTTACTTTTAAATAAGGAAACACAATTGCATTTTTCTTATTTCAAGTGCATTTTATCTAAATATCTTATTTTAAGAGTAAAAATACTCATTCCATTGGCAAATCATCTCATTAACCTGCTCAAATGAAGTGTAAATGCACTGAATTTGAGAAATATTTACTTATTTCTAGATCATTTTTCCAGTGTATGCCTTTTGTCTTGAAGAAAAACAAACAATAACATCTAAAACACCAACAGGGAGGTGAGTGCATCCTCTAAATAGACAGCTGGACTAACAGCGTTCCCTGTTATATCTCCTGACACTAACACACTCACACATCACAGAAAGAGCGCCTTGATCAAACTAGATGCTGGTCTGCCATTCACAAACTGAGCATACTTCATTGACTGCAAGTTTGGAGACCTGCATCATATTCAGCAACTTTCCTCTAACGCGTTTACATGTAACAGAGTCAGGGGAGATTCCAAAGACATAGCTACAACATCCCTGCAGGATTTAAGTCAGTGAGGCGTGATGAGTGATACCAGGGAGGAGGAATCGCAGGAAGAAAAACAGGCTGCGGATGCATAGAGATAATGGCCTTCTATATTATCAGTTTTAATAATAATAGAATACATTTATGCATGAAAAACTTAACTGTGGGTTTGTGTTTATAATCAAAAAACAGATATCTGGAGTTTAATCTGTGGAAAATGTGCATTTTGTTCCAACAAAGCTTTGAAACCTTTGTTATAGAGCTACACCAGTCAGAGCTGGTTTTCATAGGCTGGTCCTGTTTGATGATCTGCTGAACAGATACTGAAAAAAATACATTTAAATGAAATGCATGAAACTTATTATGCCTCCCCTCGTTATTGGTCTATGCACACATCAGCCAAATATGTATTTAGATGCACATAAAAATCAGATCAAGTTTAGCTAAATTGTTTTGATGCAAAAATGAAGGAATCTTCTGATGCCCTCATTTTCTGTTTTTATCACAGTGCCTGCAACACTTTTGTCTTTCATGTTTTACAGACCTTAACAGGGAAAAATACTTTATCTGCAGCTAAGTCCTCAAGGAAAACCAGAAATCAAACTTGAATAAGAAATGTTTAATATGTAAAAACTCTAACTTTTAAAAACAATTTTAAACAAGTAAAATATTTACATTTTGTTGTAAAGCTTTGAAAAACTGCTGCCATGAATCTCTGAGTTTGAAGAAAAAGCACCAAAAATAGCAAATCTTAGAGAGGGTGTAGTTTTTTTTGTTGGAAGAATGTAAAAGTGACTTTATATCTAACTATTATAGCTGCAAAACAGATCAAATAACAATCATCAGAATAACAACGTCATTATCAGAATGCACAGATGTGATATTTGGTGGGGCGACATGAACCTGATTCAGAAACAGTTCGCTTATAACAGTGATGATGGAAAAGAAAAAGAGCAGGGAGGAAAAATGTGTCATCATTGTATCCGACACTGATATTTTAATGCTATTTTTATATTCACAGTAAGAATAATACAGCTATAGAGGTAAATTATGTATTTAGAGTATTTTTGTTGTATTATTCTGCAGCACAAAAAACATTAAATATGTAAAAACATAGAAATCCATCACATAGAGAATGCTAAATAAAAAAAATGTGATTAGGAGAACAAAAAAAACATCATATTTGATGTTATTGGACGGTTCCAGCATCAACCACAAACCCCAAACTCGCTGTGAATGAAGAAAAAAGTCAAAGCAGGGATAGAAATGCTGAATGGTGCAGAAAAGTCCTACCTGGTCCCTTTGGATGCATGGCAGAGAGGTCCGCCGGTGTGACTTACTACTGGACTGACTGTGCGCCATGTCTGAGGATATAACAGAACTGGACCTCCTGCGCCTTTTAAATACAGGAATCTCTTCCCTGGCTCCAGTCACGGGGGTGCAGCCCTCCTTTTGTGTCCCTTGTTTGGGAAGGAGCCTGTCAGCATACCTCGCCAGCAGGATGCCCAGCACTCCGACCAGGTACGCCACGTACGGTCTCCAGGCGGCCCGCACTTTATGCAGCGAGAGGAGCGAGATCGTCCTGGCTATGCTGATGAAAACGATCACAGATGTGCCCTGGTTCAGCCGAGCTACCATGAGTACACCAGCGGCCGAGCAAAGGAGCACAACCCCGGCCGCTGCAGCGGACAGCTGCTCATCTGTCCCGTCCAGAAGAGACCACGCCGCGACTTCGCCCAGGTGGCACAAGGTCAGGAGGGAGATGAGGGTCTCGATCAGCACCCCGCAGTGGATCAGGTACACCCCGACCCAAAAGAAGGCACATAGGAGCGCGAACAGCAACGATAGCGCACTCAGGCAACTTTGCAACAGCTCGGCTGCGCAGGCAGAAACAAAGTGGAGGGGGGACGATGTGTGCAGGAGTGTGTCAGCACTGCTGCTGGTCTCAGCTGTCCAGTCTGCGCATTTGACCAAAGCGGCGAGGAAAACGGAGAGCGACCCCACGCACACTGCGCTCCGGAACCTCTGGGAACTCCAGAGTTTGTGAAACATCAGCCTGAGCCACGTTTCACAGTCCTGCTCTCTGCAGCGCGGGATGACGCGTGCTTTTACATACCCATTCAGATCCGGTGCGCCCAAGCCTTTCTGACGACTTTTGCTCTGCGCATCGGTGGAACTGCAAACCTCTGCAGACATCGCCATCATTCATGGCCCGAGGTGAAGTATGAGGAAGTCTATAAAGCATCTACACAGGTGTGGTCAGGGGGCCAGGGCAGAGTGAAAAACAGGCATCATTTTGGTGCAAATGTTGGAAAAAGTAAGAAGCAAGCGAACATCCGTCTTTCCTTTACGCATGGGTCTAAGCAGCGTCTCTTTGTTTTCCAGGTGCAGGATGCAGAGGGGAGCCTGAGTGACAGAAGCTTCCCAGATCTAGGGCATCGCTCCTCTGTGCACACGTCCCGCTCGGCCCTCCGTGGCGCGTCTTTCACGTCTCCTATCAGTCTCTGCGTGGAGACCCCAGGAAACGGCGGCGGCAGTCAGACCTTCGGAAGAAGAAAAAAAAACAAAACATCAGCCCTGTTGCGTGATCGTCCGGCTCAAAATGATCTGGTTGTCTTCTTCCTGATATGAGACGAAACATTCCCTCCGGTGCGCTTCCGAGGATAAACTCGTTTGTGTTATTTAAGCTGCAAAGAGTCAGAGCGGCGTTTTCCCGGATAAATCCGGTTTTGTCACCAGCTCTCCAACCAGCCGCGAGTCTCGCCTCATTCACACCCCTGACTTCTACTTTTTACACCCAGTGAGGGTGAAGTTCCCCCATTCCCCCACTGCCAGCCCAGCAAGAGTATCTGAAGGAAGGTTAGGGCGCGTTTTCTCTCCTATTTAAGGGTCATTCCTTTTTTTTCTTCTGTTTTTTATCCACAGTCTGTGCTAATATACATATATGCATTTAGACTAATAAATAAAGAAATAAATAAGGGAGACTTCTTGGTGTTGCATAACTATAATGTACAGGAACAGCCACATTTTAGGTCCTGTAGTCTCTCAGTGTGCACACATTTAGTTGTGGCCTTGGAAGTTTTGCAAGTTTTCCAATAATCGACAAAAAAGTAACTTTTATTAAAGTTTATAGGATATGGTAAAGTGAAACAATATTTACACTTTCTTTTCAGCTCATTTCTTTTTTCTTTACAAATAAACACCTAAAAGGTGTGAATTCAGCCCTCTGCCCTGATATTATTGAATAAAATCCAGCTCACCAAACCTACGGAAGAGGATTAGGGCCACTGAAAAAAAAAAAGTTAACTGTCTTAGTTTAACATGGGAAACAAGTCAGAATTCTGACTTTAATCTGAGAATTCTGCCTTTTTTTCTCATAATTCTGACTTTTTTCCTCAGAATTCTGACTTTAATCTCAGCATTCTGACTGAATTCCAACAATAAAAAAGTGAGATTAAAGTCACAATTCTGAGAAAAAAGTCAGAATTGTGACTTTAATCTCAGAATTCTGACCTTTTTCTCAGATTTCTGAGATTAAAGTCACAATTCTGACTTTGTTCTCAGAATTCAACATATACTCATTATCAGTTCGTATGAAATCGTCCGAAAAGTTATGCACACTATTCCGTACGTTTTGGACGTTTTTCCTCAAAAAACCACATCAGTGCGCTGGCGGACAGAAAAAAAAAGCAGATCCGCGGACGGACGTAAAACTGGGAAAAACAGTGCAATCATCACTTATTCATGTCTCTAACTACGTTGCTTGCTGTAGTTAATTGTAATTTAGATTCTATATTCGTGAATGGTGCGTCAGATGCGCATGCGCATACAACGAAAAAAACGTCCAAAACGTACGAAATTACGGCGCATAACTTTTCGTACGATTTCATACAAACTCATAATGAGAATACACTGCATAATTCTGAGTTTTTTTCCCATACTAAACTGAAATAAAATTTAAAAATCAGTTAACTTTTTTTTTTTTTCCACTGGCCCTAATCCTCTTCCGTACCAAACTGTCCTTTTAGTAAGTTGAGTCTAACTTTGTGTGACTTAATGCCAATTTAAATAAATTCAGCTGTTCTCTGATGGTTTGCTGAAGATTATTAGTGAAAAGCATAATAAACACAAGACTGGTCAAGGATAAGGTTATGAAAAAGTTCAAAGTAGCTGTAAAATATTGTAAAACAATAACCCAATCTTTAAAGATTTAGACTATTTCTTTGTCCATTTTCTGTATATCATAAAGGCTAACACATTTATTCCAAATTTATTGTCATCACAATTTCTTCAAAAGTGTGTTTTTGCTTTAACATGACATGGTTAGGATTTCTGGTGCTTATTCCAACTCCAATATTTTGGTAGGCTACTTTTTCAAAAAGTCTGAAATTAACTAATTTTAATCACTAAAACTAAATGCCACGACGAGCCACACATTTTAGCAGTGTTTTGTTAGCTAATCTGTCTTCCTAATCTGGTTTAAAAACAGGAAACACAAATACATCCTAGAATAGCATTCAGAGTGCAGAGCTCTGGCAAACAGCAAATGTTGCCTGATATTGTGACTTACAACTATAGCTAAAATTGCACATGTTCTGGATAGTTACCAAATATTAATTAATTGTTTCTTAGCATGAGGTGCGTCTTTGTTAAAAGTTTCCTTAAAATTCGTTTATAAGTTTATAAATAAGGCACAGGGTGTGTCTGCAGCCTTTGGTGTTTGTTCTGCTCTCACCTTTTTTATTAACTCTACTGATCAGCAGACCCAGACTTCCAGACTTTTCCTGTATTTTTGTCTTGAGTATAATACTTCTGGATTTTTTGAGTGCGATGCTACAGCTGTCAACAGTCACTGCTGCCACCCTCTGGTTTAGAGGGAAACTGTTCGCGCTAAACATCTTAAAGAATCCTTGAAAAAGAAATCCTGCATCCTGATTAGAATGTGGATCATCACCAAAATGTATTGGATTGTTTTTTTAGACTGAGGTTCACCTTTAATAAAAAATATTTTTCAAGTTATGCTGTACACAGACAGACACACAGATTCTCCATAAAACGGTGGATGAAACAAGGCAGGAAGTTGTAGGGAAATATCATTATTGTAAATGAGGGTCTCAGAAAAGAAAGATGTATATATGACACTGATGAAAATGTGCTTTTAACATCATTGTTGAGGCAGAAATATTGAATATTTCTAAACTGGGTTTCATTCTTTTTCACTACGAAACCAAAGTAGAAATAGATTAAAGATTATTTTTTATTATTAAGAATTCAATAAATTTCCCTTATGTAATGCTCACCAGTAAATTCATATGTTTAGTAATATCCTGCTTCCATGTATGGCACAGATAAGCTCCTGACAATGGAAATGTCTGTTGAGAGTTAATTGCTGCTAGGTATATATTTTACAAAAATGCCATTTGCTTGTGGAGGATTGTTTAAAAGACCTGCCCTCTCCATTTAAAAAAAAAATAAATGCAGGTGCAGAAGCATGCATAAGCCCATTTCTCCTCGTGCACGCCCTCTTTAAAATGTGCTGTGCTCATAGCTCATACAAGCTTACTGTGTCCACATAAAGCAGGGACTATATATTGGACTTTATAGCAAACTCAGTTAACTGACCGTTTGGACTGATGATCACTGCTTTTTGCTCTGTTGATGACGTAACTCCTCCTCCACTGTGCAGTGCCTGCGCCATCTTTGTTATTAGTCGCCGCTGTCAGGTAGCAGCAGCCTAAGGGAGGAGAGTTTGCAAGGAGATCTCTCCGCGCAAAGCATTCTGGGATATATCTGCCTCTTCTAAGGCCTTTCTTTTCTTCTCATGCTTTGTAGATGCTTTTTCTCTTATGACCCCCGGCCATTTTTAAAGAACCGCGGTGAGAAAGGTGAGCTTCAATGACTGTCTGAAACCGTAGCCTTACGTAAATATCAACAGAATGATTGACAATTAGGAGGACCACTGAGATGACCCACCTGGAAATAAAAGATCATCCTCTATACCTTTAATTGTGGCAAGATAAGAAAAAAGATAGTTTGGGATATGTGAAAAGTAATATGGGAAGAAAAAAATGGGTAAATCCTGGGGACAAGCTGTTTGTAGCTGACAGAAGGATGGTGTATATTGAGTTAAATTAAAGCACTGGGTAAACTTGCATAAAACAGGAAAGGTTTTTCTTGACAATGTTGTGACGGTACAGCTTATACGTCACAGTGCATAAAGGCAGGTTAACATGAAAGCAATGGACAGCTTCAGATCTAGACTTAGTTGTAGCTAAGATCCTTTGACTAGACCTAAAATAGAGANAAGTAGAAATAGATTAAAGATTATTTTTTATTATTAACAATTCAATAAATTTTCCTTATGCCACATTCACCAGTAAATTAATATGCTTAATAATATCCTGCTTTCATATATGGCACAGCTAAGCTCCTGACGATGGAAACGTCTGTTGAGAGTTAGTTGCTGTTAGGTATATATTTTACAAAGATATCCTTTGCTTAAAGATATTGTGGAGGATTGTTTAAAAGACCCGCCCTCTCCACTTAAAAAAAAAAAACTGCAGGTGCAGAAGCATGCATAAGCCCATTTCTCCTTGTGCACACCGTGTTTAAAATGTGCTGTGCTCATAGCTCATACAAGCTTACACATAAAGCAGGGACTATATAGTGGACTTTATAGCAAACTAGGTTAACTGACCGTTCGGACGATGATCACTGGTTTTTGCATCACGTAACTCCTCCTCCACTGTGCAGTGCCTGCGCCATCTTTGTTATTAGTCGCCGCTGTCGGGTAGCAGCAACCTATGGAAGAAGACTTTGCAAGGAGAGCTCGCTGCACAACGCATTCTGGGATATATCTGTCTCTTCTAAGACCTTTCTTTTCTTATATAACCCAAACTTCGTAGACACTTTTTCTCTTATGACCCTCGGCCATTTTTAAAGAACCGCGGTGAGAAAGGTGAGCTTCAATGACTGTCTGAAACCGTAGCTCACCACCGATATGCAGCTGAATGGGTGCATGCGCAGAAAAAGATAGCTAACAGGACAAGCACGTAGGACGGCCTTACGTAAATATCACCAAAATGTTTCACAATTAGGAGGACCACTTATTGAGATGATCCACCTGGAAATAAAAGATCATCCTCTATACCAAGGGTGGGCAATTCCAGTTCCTGGGGGCCGGTATCCTTCAACTTTTAGATGTGTCTTTGGTTCAACACACCTGAATCAAGTAATTAGTTGATTGAGAGGAATTGTGAGAAACTGACTGCATACTGAGCAGGTAACTCAGCCATTTGCTTCAGGTGTGTTTGATAAAGAAAGGATGTAAAACCTTCAGGATTCCGGCCCTCAGGAACTGGAATTGCCCACCCCTGCTCTATACCTTTAATTGTGGCAAGATAAGAAAAAAAAATAGTTTGGGATATGTGAAAAGTAATATGGGAAGAACAAAATGGGTAAATCATGGGGACAAACTGTTTGTAGCTGACAGAATGATTGGTGTATATTAAGTTAC